CCCCCCTGCAGTTTGCATATCAACCTCATGTGGGGGTTGATGATGCAATCATCTACCTGTTGCAGAAGGCCTATTCCTCCTTGGACAGACCTGACACCTCAGTCCACGTCATGTTCTTCGACTTCTCCAGCGCCTTCAACACCATCCAGCCCAGACTGCTGAAGGCCAAACTGGAGAGCACGCAGGTGGGTGCTCCCCTCATCACTTGTGTAGGAGCCGCATTTAAGTTTATTTGAATTCCATTATTTACATTGTCTTTTGTCAGTGTGCGCCCCCTACAGGTGGTGATGGTGCCACCCTTTAAGGCAGTCGCCCATCATGCATGGGGGAGGAAAGCAGCCCAGCAAACACCGTCATTGACCGCAGCTTGTGAAGCTGCCTGGGCACTCTCGGCCTGTTGCTGTTTGGAGCTACAATCAAGTTTAGCTGTAGCCTGGTCCTGCCAGTTATAGAATATTTTAAGACCTCTGCAAACAATGCGTTTTATTTTCCGTGTTTAAGTTACAATAAATTACCGGCATCATTCTTCAATCAACTCTCACTGGATTTATTCGATCACAAACTGCGAGTCTGACACTGCACCGCTGCTTTCCCCATGTGATAAAACGAAGGAAACTGGAAGTAAGGGATTATAAGAAAAATCCAAAATGAAGTTCTGCCACAACAACAGTCAATGACGAGCTGTGGATTCATTGGGAGGAAACTCTTCGAACGACGCGCTTAGGAGACAATAGGACATGTCGGCCTGAGGCTTGGACTTTAATAAAGGAAAGAGGTATGTGCTTGAAATACCGCTATCCTGAACTACTTTTTCGTTTTGCAATATTACAGAAAGAATTTAGAAACTATTTCGGATGAGGATTTTTTGAGTTTATGGACCGAGATCCGTATTTTTGGTGGAAATTAAAAAGACGAGCGTATTGAAACTCTGCGTAATATGCATGAATGAAGCAGAGACAACTTGTTTTTGTTTTAAATACTGCCGACTGTTTTTCGACTTTTGACTAATATTGCATTGTCCGGAAGAAGAGTCGTACTTATTTGTGCCTTTTGAAAGTTTATTTTGGATATTCATGGCAGGTAAAAACGAACATGAAACAACAACAAACATGGATGATGCCATAACACATCTCCGTTTCGCAAGATCAGAAAAAATGTCTCATATCACTTGCAGAATGAACATTATAAATAACTTGATGGCTGGAGAGGAATTTATTGATGAGGTAAAAGGAAATATGGTTAAGTTCGATGAATATCTTACCGACTTTAAGGACCTGCATGCGTCTTATGCTGAAACATTGGATGAGGAAGCCCGTCATGAGGACGATGAAAAATGGTATCTGCCAAGATGCGCACAGATTACGGCTTTCATTGTAAAAGCCACAAAGTGGATTAGAGCTATAGAGGATCCCAGTTCCCCCATTTTAGCCGAGGCCACTTCGTCTATTGAAGTGGATGATCCTCTGCCAGATTTCGCTGATAACGCCAACGCGGACCTTGACTTTACTGATGCGCAATCAGGTGCGTCCAAAGATGCACCCGATTTGACTGTTGTCATACCATTGAATAAGTGTAATCCTGATACAATCATCCCACAGATATGGGCCAGTAGGGGCCTACTCTACCTACTAGTAGGTGCAGGAGGGAGTTATCACCCATTCATCTGGCTGATCCAATGCTATTCAAGCCCAGTAGGTACAGAAGGTGAAAAAAAGTGTCCATCTTGTCTCACCACATTAGTTTTTGTTTTATCTCATGAATAATTTATCTTCTACCTGTAGATGAGGACAAGTTAGTGAGTAATCCTTTGTTTTTTTTATTGTTACTGATAATAACAGGGATTAGGGAAAAAAACTGTTCTCCGAAAAGTCTTCTGTTTGCATCCTTCTTTGCATGTGTCTGGTTCATTGTGTCTACATGCACACAAACAATATTATCGTGCTGCTATCAAGGAATTGCATTGCACATTTAATTTGATGAGTAGGCTGTACCACAAAAAATACCTCTCTTCCTCTTTTTCTTCCCTTCACCTGTTGCACTGGTCAGGGAGATAGTAGGTCTGGGAGAGCAGGAGCACTGTGCAGGCACACCTGTGACAAAGGTGGATGACTTTAGACACATTACTTAAAATATGGCAGAAGGTGATTAATGCTAACACTCACTTTCAGTCATGGTTTTTTGAGAGGGAGATGCTGAGGCGGTGCTTGGGGGCTGGACAGGGACGAGGGTTAGGGTGTAAGTCTCCTCCTCATAGTCCATTTGGGGATGAGAAGTAGATGGGAGAAAGGTGGAAGAGTCTGGAGGATGAGGAGGAGGAGAGGGTTGGGAGGGAGAGGTGGTAGACTGTGGAGTTGGAGATGGGCTTTCTAAAAAGGGTTTTACAGGCCCGTCCCCTCCAGGGCACATGTAGGTGATCATTTCAGCATTTACTGTGTTCACCCCCTTCTTCTTCTTCCCGATGAACAAAATTGGGTTGTAGCCAAAGGCAGCAAGCTTGCTCACCTGAAATGTACACAATTAGACAAAATGTTAACATGGCATTATTATTACACACTGACATGTTACAATTTTTTCACTTTATTTGAATGTTATGTGTGCACCAGTGTTTGCTAATGTCTATAATCTTTTTCAAGGGTTTCTTAAGGATTTTCTAATGAACTGTAGGTGTGTGTACATATAACATTCTTTCAGACAGAAAAGTGTGGACAGGGTTCTGTGGAGCGCATGGATGAAGCACTTGTGCATTGAGAGAAACAAATGCTATGTTAACAGAGAGTTCACTGTCTCTGTTATTATAGTTTCTGTCTGAAATATCATAAAGCTCAGGAGACAGACATGGTCAAAACAAGTTTTCTCTCCATTTCTTTTTAGTTTAGTTCTTCGGAGATGCAAACACATGCATTGCACCCTCAGTTTAATATTTTGCACTTTCAGTTCAAATTGCATATTAATGCCAAGCATAAGGTGGTCTGGCACATGGACTGCGTGAGCATCTTCATTCTCACCAGCAGCTCAATCAGCAAAAGAGTTGGATGAAGACTAATAAAGGTCAGCGGGTGTGGTGATTAATAAATACTCTCCCAGCTTGTCACATCACTGGTCTCATAGCTCTGAAACAACTGAGCTAATCAGTTAAACATGATAGCAACAGCTCAACAAATAGAAATCTTCGTCTCAGGAAATGTCTGGATGGTTCAGACAGTCACAACATGAACACACCTCACCACGAATCTGCAGCCAATGACAAATGAAGTATGATTTTCCCATAAATAGTTAATATAATAATATATAAACTGATTGATTATATGATTATTTCGGACAAAGACTGTTTTATTTGGAATTCTAATGTATCCCACCTCATACATGGTCACATAGTTTAGTAATTAATGATATACAAATGTGTTTGCACAGCACTTGTCATAGTATTTAGCCATGATTCCTCTGAGGACTGGAGTTTGAGGGTATGGGTGTCCTTCTGACTCGTAAAGCAAACTGTTGCTGAAAATGACTGACACCCTGTTTAACTTACTGCTGTCTACAACTTTTCCGTCTGTGTTCCAGCATAATCTGTTTATCTGGGACCCAACTCTGGATCATCATACACTACTCTACTTTAATAGCTGTTGGCAGCTCGCACTGTAACTACTAGGGTACCACCACTAATTTGAGATGCACCTGAAGTCATTTGGTTCTGGAACCGGGCCTAGCTCTCTCCTCATTGGTGAAAAATGTGCTATTGATCAGAAAAAAATGCTATTTGGACCACAAGCCCATATGTCAATAATGAGCCAACTCATTTTGAATCTTTAGCTAAATTTAAGGTTAGGGGTGGCTCATATAAAGTGGCGGCATTATGTTCAACAACCTTTAATGAATACAATGGATGTGCACACACAACACATCAAAGTCAATACTCACTGCCTTTTCTTTTTCTTTGAATGACTTTTTTTGCAGGAGGCAAACACAGCAGCTGGCACAGGTCTCCCGATTGGCATGATGCTTGCTCCACAATTGGGGCAGCTTCTTGCTTTGGGCTTCGTCATGACTTTGAGAGCAAGATGAATGGAAAAGCTAATAAGAGTGTGACACATAAAAAGAACTAAGTTACAATTGACTGCAAGGGCTGTCTAAATACAGCTAGCAATCTCAATAGCACACACCAATTTCCCGTTTACCAGCATAATGTGCATAACATAGCATGCATTAGCTAACCAAAACTGATGTTACATAGAAACCTTTTTTTAATGTGTTATACCTGTGTGTAGCACAAAAGTAATATTGCTGCATCTTTAAATATACAAACTATATTGTTTTATAGTTTACATTTTTAGGTACATGCTCAAAACATTAAGTGTGTTTCTTACCTGCTTCTTCCTTCTACTAAACATTTTCTAAACCTGTGACTCTCGGTTCCCACGCGAGGACAGTACCCGCGTTACCAAGTACCGCGAACAAGACGCCGTGAATGACGTCACTTCTCGTCGCTTGCACTTTAAATCATAAAACATAAACAGTATTTCAGTAAAGAGAATTTAAAAATATATATATGTAAATTAAAAAAGAAGTCAAAAAAGAACTCAGAAAAAAAATATATGAAGCGGCTGTAAAACTATGTGAAATAAACATTAACTGTTTTTTAATATCAATCATCTAGATGAAGTGTAATTACTGATTCGGCTGCACTAAATGTTTGATATATTCAATAGATGTATGATATTACGACCCTATTTTACAACCCTACTTTGAAAACCGGAAGAATTAGCTAACCCAAATCCACATTATAGAATAACAGTTAGTATATCTGACATAAGCCAACATCTTTACTTTTTCTTAAAATTAATCATATAGATGGAGTGTTATTACTAATTCAGCTGCACTTAATGTTCGATATATTCATTAAATGTTGTTGTGATCAGAGTATTTTTACGGTGTAGTATAAGTATTTTTTACTTTGTAAATAGACTTTATGCTTTTAAGTAAAGGATATGATACTTCTTCCACCACTAAAGAATATGCACAGTACATGAAATGCATACCACTCTGTGTAATTTGCCAAGGCCAGGGATGTTCTGTGTCCAGAACGCTATCCATGCACACCGCTTGCTCGTATGGAACGAGACTGTTGTACTCCGCTACCATGGCCTTCAAAGTGGTCTTCTGTTGCCTTATTTTTCAGCGAATTCTATGTCGGCCTTTGTTGCGGTCTGAAAACCAAAGAAAAAAAATAAACCCACATTATATCTTTTAAATACACTAAGTCCATGATCTTGTTTAAGTTACAGCTGTAACAACAGAATGACAATACATTTGCCAAACAGATGGATCATAATAGATCTACTTATAATAACTGAACGCAAAATCAATTTGTTCTGGAGAAGTCCAACACATAAAACATTACTTTTTAGAACTGTATGGACATTGTAATTATGAAGTGAGTTTGGAGACATTTCAGACTGTGATCTGAAAAGGCCTAAAATGTTAACATACCATTTTTCCGATATAGGAGTTGAGCTCTCGTGTTGATGCTGGTTGTGAAGGCCTCAATCTTCTTACACAAAGCTTGTGGTGTGCCTTGAAGGTCAATTTCTCCTGACAAAACTGATTGCAGGTAGCGTCAACTTCACAAATGACACAAAGGGTTTCCAGGTCCCCAATCGGGATATTGAGAGCTTTAGATGTCTAAAATGACAAAATTATTACCATAAGCTAAAAGTCAGTACAACATGTACAGTGTACAAATGCAACTCAAATCAGGCAAATGTTGTAACTATCATGTATCACAAGCCTATGTGCACAAAACTGTATGTGTGTTTTATTGACCTACACTGTGCCATTGCAGCAAAATAATAGTGTTTCTATTTACCTTATGGTATCTCTGAGAAAGTCCAGTAGCCAGGTTTGGACATTTCTGCTGGTTCCATCTTATGGCCAGGAGTGTCAGCATGTCATTGCGTCCTGCAAGTACACAGAGATGAGTTCTGTAAAAATGCACTTGTAATAATATAAATGTCTTTTATTCTGTATACAGAGGTACAATTATATAGCACCTGATTTTGACATATGCTTTGTGGTGACTGATATCCTGGAGAGGAAAGCATTACATTGCTCTACTTCCTCCCCTAGTGTTTTACCAGCACCTTCTTGGTTTGTGCCACTCCATTTCACCTGGAGAGAGGGACCCAAACATAAACATCAAGGGAATTTAGTACAACAGAGACCTCAAACAATGCCCAACAGTCACTTTTAATTCAATTAAAACCTAATCAAAAATCAAACTGTCACCCTTCCACCAAGTTGTGTGTACATTAGTGGTAAACCTCATCAGTAATCTTGCTTACAAACAAAGATACACAGACAGGTGCAAAATAATATCCTTGACAAAAGTACATGTGTCAATTAAGGGCTGTTCACATCAACAACAATAACTATAACAATAGTTAAACATTACACATTTATATGCATCATTTATAGGATTGCAAGTCATTTGATAAAAATGTACTGTATTATACTAACCTCACATTTGGAGTCATGCGCTTTAGCATGTACAAACATATTAAGGGCAGCCAGCAAGACATCATGCCTGCACACTGCCAGCTCCAGTCCCTCCTCATCCACCTTACTGCTTGATCTTTGGGAGGTCTCTCTGGCAGCTGACCACTCCCCACCACAATTGCTCCTTCCAGTGACCTACATTGTAGAAAATCATAATTGACAAATAATCCCATCAACAGTCATTACAGGGAACAATTATACATTTCTCTTAAGGGACAAGGAACGGATAAGTGTTAGCAGATTAAGAACAATTAGGTATACAGGTAGATATCACAATACATGGGAGTACTGACAGACTATGAATTATAATGTTATATTGAGATAGAAATTGAAGTCTGCTATTACATGTTTATTTTTGCTGTGGATGTGATCCACAAATCTGGTCACATCGTCATCTTTTGCAATGAAGACACCGTCAAAGATGGCCCGCTCCTGATATCTAAAAAAACAACAAGAAATAAAAAGGCTTCAATGTTTAAAAGGATAGTGGAGTATTCTGAAGTGGGATGGTATAAGGTATTTATCCATAGTAAGTGTGTTACCTACAGTACACAGTGTTCAGACAGCCCTTTTCCTTGGCACTACAGTGTCTCAACTGTAGAACTTGCATATTTCTACATCTAACCCCAACTACAATCCTGGATATTGGGTTTTTTTCAGGTGGGCCTTTTATATGTGGCTAAAACAAATTTTTCTGCTTCTCCACAATAGAGGCAGGGGATGGGTGGCGGTGACCATTGTCTGCTGTAGGTAACAGACTGACCATCTTTTTAACATGTCATACATCGAAAGGTTACTTGTTGTATAAAACATAACTATCTGTTTTGCCATTTAAACAGTGTGGGTATACATTATTGTATACCTTGCAGTACTTTTGAAGCGGTAACGCTTGCGGTTTCCATCCACTGAGACAGAAAGCATTGCTGGGGTACAGGCAGGACAGATGAATTTCTCCTCCTTGCAGGTGGAGTCAACCTCATATTGTACAGCAGCCCATTCAAAAAAGCTTTTTTGGAAGCTGTCTGATGAGATCTTCCCAGTCTATGTAAAAAAGAAAAAGCACAAAACAATTTTTTAAACAAAGACCTTTCCATTTCAAAACACAAACATATTCATGATCTTGCAGAATGAAGAAAGAAATACTTACACGGCCAAAGCGAGCAGTCCGCTTCTCAAGCATTCTTAGATATGCCTGAAAAGACATCCCGGGTGATGCCATCTTCATGTCTTCAAATGTATAAAACAGGTCTGTCTCATAAATTGTTACAAAATGAAGGGTGGCAGGTCAGTATCCACTTTTTATCAGGTCATCAAGTCCTGCAGTCCAAGTTGCCTGGCATCCCTCGCAGGTCAGCTCAGGCATGTTGAGATCATACCGTCCTACAAGGTAATATTTACATTTACAACCAAGGTTGGAATGTTATGTAGCATGTGCCATATACTGTATATCCAAGTGGTTCAGTAAGGCCTGCTGACTTGATGGGCACTATCATGAATAAGTCATTTGTAAATGGCATGAATAAATAAGTGACATTCCCCCCCAAAAGGTTTGCAACCATAATGAGCTCATTTTTTGAGACATTAAGTTGTTGGGAGTTGTTGAATAGAAATACATAGTTTTGCTGAAACTGGACGAAGGAGATCATTTGCATAATTACCATTTACTGTGACCAAAGCAACAGCCTTCCCTTGGATCACCCTGAGTGCTTCTGGGGGACACCTGCAGATGCTGACAGGCATCACAATAGGCAAAAATCACACTGAAAGACATTACACAAAGGTTACACTAATTCATAATTACTGACACAGACAAAAACTAGCTCAGTGTGTAACTTACCACAGTTTGTAAGTGCCTTTTCAACAACACAGTTGGTTGGAGGCAATGGCTGAAAGAAGCCAGCACACATGGCATCCCTGTTATGGAGGACTGAGGCCTTGCTGTGTCTGCTGATGTCACATTCAGCGCAGAGAAAGGGACGTGGAAGGCAATCTCTGCATCTAATAGCTGCGCAGTTGTTCCCACATTGGCTGCAGCCATTTGTTGCCACGCTCTCCTTGGGCGGGCTTGCTCTGTTTTGTTTGGTATTTACTTTGAACGACAATTCAATTCAATTTAATTCAATTCAATTTTATTTGTATAGCGCCAATTCATAACAGAAGTTATCTCAGGACACTTTTCAAATAGAGCAGGTCTAGACCGAACTCTTTATAACATTATTTACAGAGACCCATCAGTACCACCATGAGCAAGCACTTGGCGACAAGGGCAAGGAAAAACTGCCTGTTAAAAGGCAGAAACCTAGGACAGATCCTCCGGCTCTAGGTGGGTGGTCGTCTGTCTCGACCAGTTGGGGTGAGAGAGAGAGAGAGAGAGGCAGAGAGAGAGGCAGAGAGAGAGAGCGCGAGAGACAGACAGACAGGTGCACAGCAACAACAGTATTGGCAATGGCAATCTAGCAGGACCATGGCAGGAGGCTCCACCAGGATTGAGAAGAACCTGTGAGACGAGAAAGCACAAGAACTCCGGGGAAGAAGTGAAGTTAGTAACATGCATTAATGGGACATGAATGAGTGCAGAAAGAGAGAGAGGAAGGGAGGAGCTCAGTGCACCATGGGAAATCCCCCGATAGTCTAGGCCTATAGCAGCATAACTAAGGGATGGTTCAGGACTCACCTGATCCAGCCCTAACTATAAGCTTTATCAAAGAGGAATGTCTTAAGCCTACTCTTAAATGTGGCGAGTGTCTCTGCCTCCCGAACCACAACTGGAAGCTGGTTCCACAGGAGAGGATCTTGGTAACTGAAGGCTCTGGCTCCTGTTCTACTTTTAGAGACTATAGGAACCACAAGTAGCCCAGCATTCAGAGAACGTAGTGTTCTAGAGGGGTAATAGGGTACTATATCTCTTTAAGATATGAAAGGGCCTGACCATGAAGAGCTTTATAGGTGAGGAGGAGGATTTTAAATTCTATTCTACATTTTACAGGGAGCCAATGCAGAGAAGCAGGAGAGATGTGATCTCTTTTCTAGTTTCCTAGAGGTCTGCCTTATGTGGGAGTTAAATGACATATCCTGATCAAAGATAACTCCAAGATTCCTGACAGTGGTGCTAGAGGCCAAGTTAATGCCATCTAGAGTAACTATATCTTTAGACAGTTAGTCTCTAAGGTTTTTGGGGCCAAGAACAAGAATTTCGTTTTTTTCTGAGTTTAACATCAGAAAATTGCAGGTCATCCAGGATTTTATTTAGGACTTTTAATTTCATTGGGCTTGATTGATAGATATAACTGCGTATCATCTGCATAACAGTGAAAGTTAATGGAGTGATTCCTAATAATGTTGCCTAAAGGGAGCATATATAAAGTAAATAGTATTGGTCCAAGTACAGAACCTTGTGGAACTCCATGACTAACTATAGTATTTATTGAAGATTCATCGTTAACATGTACAAACTGCGAGCGATCTGATAAATATGATTTAAACCAGCTCAGTGCGGTTCCTTTAATGCCAATTTGATGCTCAAGTCTCTGTAAAAGAATATTATGGTCAATGGTGTCAAATGCAGCACTGAGATCTAATAATAAAAGTACAGAGACAAGTCCATTGTCAGAAGCAGTCAGAAGGTCATTATTAACTTTAACCAGAGCTGTCTCTGTGCTATGATGAACTCTAAATCCTGACTGAAAATCCTCAAATAAACTATTGTTATGTAGAAAGTCACACAACTCTTTGGCGACTACTTTCTCCAGAATCTTAGAGAGGAAGGGGAGGTTAGAGATTGGTCTATAGTTGGCTAAAACCCCTGGGTCAAGAGTGGACTTTTTAAGAAGGGGTTTAATTACAGCTACTTTAAAGGACTGTGGTACATATCCTGGTATTAAAGAAAGATTAATCATATCCAGTAAAGAAGTGCCAATTAAGGGAACAACTTCTTTAAGCAGCCTAGTTGGGATCGGGTCAAATAGACAGGTTGATGGCTTCGATGAAGAAATGATTGAAGTTAACTGATGAAGATCGATAGCAGAAAAACAGTCTAAATATATATCTAAGTTTACATTGGCAGAAGTCCCTGAACTTGGAGAGCCACTGATAACTATTGATGGCAGTTGGTGATTAATTTTCTCTCTAATAGTAATAATTTTATTATAGAAGAAGCTCATGAAGTCATTGCTACTTAAGTTTATGGGGATATGTGGCTCGATAGAGTTGTGACTCTCTGTCAGCCTGGCTACAGTGCTGAAGAGGAACCTAGGGTTATTCTTATTTTCTTCTATTAGTGCTATAAGTTTTAAGATTATCTTGCCAAATTGAGCGAAATTCTGATAATATGGAAGAGCGCCATTTCCTTTCAGATTTCCTAGCTATTTGCTTTAACTGGCGGGTTTGGTGGTTATACCAAGGTGCTAGTCTCCTATGTTTTAATAATTTCCTTTTTATAGGAGCGATAGAGTCTATTGTTGATCGTAGTGAGCCTGTAGCACTATCGACAAGATTATCAATTTCAGAGGGACTAAAGTCGTTATAGGACTCTGTTAAATTCAGACATGGCATTGAATTAAACACTGAAGGAATCTCCTCCTTAAATTTAGCTACAGCACTGTCAGATAGACATCTGCTGTACGAAGTTTTGCCTAATGGCTTATAATCTAATAGTATGAATTCAAAACTTATTAAATAATGGTCAGATGAGGCTTCTGGTTGCGACATGTAGAGAGAGGACGCACACACGAAGGCTCCCAGATTGCTTTTTGTTACTTTCCTTTTTAAATAATGACTCTGAGCATTTCGATATAACCAACACTGCTCGACTTAGTCTAGTCAACTCCGCATAAGATGAGCAAACCTAAAAACTCTAAATCAGCCAAGAAAGTGGAAACTCCGGCTACACGTGCTGCTACGAGTGCGGCGGGCAAGCTAGCATCATTTGCAGCTAACAACTCTCCGACATCAACGAAGGCTTCTGCAGCTCCCGAGGCCCCCCGCGGTTGTGGCTATGGACCAACTGTCTGCACAATTCGCCAAACAGAGAACCTCATTAAAGGAGGATGTGTCTTCCCTGATCCAAGAGGCTATTAAACCGCTACACACTTCAATGGACTCATTACAATCAACGATGAACTTATTCCAGGGCCGTCTCACCTCCGTTGAGTCTGTGGCCGGTGACAACTTTGACAGATTAACGGTAGCGGAGTCTACCATTAAAACGCTCCAAAATCATAACCAGTCACTTCTTGATCGGATCGACGACCTCGAGAACCGGTCGCGGAGAGCTAACCTCCATATATTAAACATCCCTGAAGGCAGCGAAGATGGCAATGATCCCGTTAAGTTCATGTCAGAGGTATTGATGCAAGCGATGGGCCCCGATGTTTTCTCTGCGCCGCCGGAGTTAGAGAGAGCCCACCTCCAGACCTCCAGATCCGGTCGGAGATCATCTCCCCGCACGTTCCTGGTCTGTTTCTCCAGATTTCAACAGAACGAAGCTGCGTTGCGCTGGGCCAGGAAACACGAGCTCAACCACCAAGGTACCACTATAAGAGTCTACCAAGATCTCAGCGCAACGCTCGCTAAAAACAGAGCGGCGTTCAACGGCGTTAAACAAGCCCTGTGCCAGAGGAACGTCAGATTCCACCTGCTATACCCGGCCCGGCTGTGCGTGATGTGCGAGGAAGATGTGCTCACCTTCGACTCACCTGATGAAGCCCAGAAATTTCTCGACCAGAAGTTCGGTAAGGAGTAAGACTATATATGTCGCGGTTTGCTCTGTGCAGCCTGGAGGTGGTTAATCACCTGAGTTTGAAGACATGTCAGATCACCTCTTCAACCTATTACGTCAGCCATTGGTCTTAGGACTCAAGGTATAAACACTCACTGTCGTTATTGCTGGACTAATTGGTATTATGCTGTGTACAAGTACATATCTGGAACTCTTCTACTATACAGACCGCTTATGTTGCCTTTCAATATTTATGTTATATGCTGTTGTTATGTACACGTTTTCATATATGCTTGATTGTTCTACAGTTATTGTATTGCTCAACCATCTTACTTTTTATTTTTATTTTTTATTTTGACATATCATAATCACTGGGAGCCTTCTTGGGCAGAAGTGTCAAGAGGAATGTATAGCCAGAAGTTTTTGGAAATAGTGGTTAGCCTGCAGCTAACAAGTATAGGCTTAGTTCTAGTTTTGTCTATGTTCTGGATATGGGATAGGGTTAGGGAAAAGGACACCACTAAATTTTTGCAACAAATGTTCACCTTTGTTCACTTAAGAAACGATCACAACTGTGTACTTTATCACAATCATTGCTCTAACTTATCTCTCCTTACTATTCTTTTCATTTTTACTCTTTATAGTTAAACATGATAGATGATACTGATGCAAAGAGGGCTGCTATACGATTCATTAGCTGGAATGTAAAAGGTTTAAATGGGCCTGTTAAAGAGCCAGAATATTCACCTAAAATACTTAAAATGTGATGTTGCATTTCTACAGGAAACCCACCTACTGGTTAAAGATCAAGTCAGACTAAAAAAAGGTTGGGTGGGGAATGTATTCCATTCCAATCTTAACTCTAAAACTTGTGGAACAGCCATATTGATTCATAAAAGAATCCAGTTTAGTGCGACCACTGTCACTTCAGACCCACAAGGACGATTTGTAATGGTTTCTGGGCTTCTCTACCATAAGCCTGTGGTCTTGATTAATATCTATGCCCCAAATTGGGATGATGATAAATTTATGGGGAAAATAATTTCATTAATTCCAGACTTGAACTCACAACAATTGATATTTGGTGGTGATTTAAACTGTGTAATAAACCCAGTATTAGACCGTTCCAATTCTAAATCTACAAACCTGTCTAAAAAGGCCAAGCTATTATCAGCCTTTATGGACCAGATAGGAAGTGTTGACCCCTGGCGTTTTTATTCCCACAAAGCAAGTCCTTTTCTTTTTTTCTCCTGTACATCACTCCTATAGTAGGATAGATTATTTTTTTATTTACCAAAATCTTCTCCCCTTGTCACAAACACTGAATACTCAACTATAGTTGAATCAGATCATGCCCCTGTAATTTTAGACCTTGCATTTCCTTCTCACAAATTAGAACGCCCCTCTTGGAAATTAGACAGAAATCTTTTGGCTGATGAGACTTTTTGTGAAATGATATCCCAAAAAATAGATGACTTTATAGAGTCCAACAAAAAAGATGACACTTCCCCCTCTCTTGTGTGGGAAACACTAAAAGCAGTAATCAGGGGTGAGATTATATCATATTCTGCTAAAACAAATAAGATGAAAAGGATAAAACAAGAGGAGCTCACTAAAGCAATAGCTATGGTGGATTCTCAGTACTCCATCTCTCCCTCCCCTGAATTATATAAAGAGAAGCTGGACCTCCAAACACAATATAATTTATCATCAACTGAAAAGATGGAATGTCTCCTATTAAAATCACGGGGGTATGTCTATGAGCACGGCGACAAACCTGGACGGCTATTAGCACACCAACTTAAGTGCCGCGCCGTGTCTCAACAGATTCCACAAATTCGTAAAGATGATGGTGAACTAACTATTGACCCAGAGGAAATTAACGAAACGTTCACCTCATTTTACTCAAATCTGTATACGTCAGAGATGACTAATGACAGCCCTGACATGGAGAATTTTTTTAATAACCTCCAAGCTCCTTCTATAAAAGCAAGACATAGGACTGAGACTGAACTCCCACTAAAATGTATAGAAATCACCAATGCGATTAAGGCAATGCAGAATGGCAAGGCGCCTGGCCCTGATGGGTACTCTATAGAGTTTTATAAAAAGTTCTCTAGTAAATTGTCTACAATTTTACTTTATGTTTAATGACTCTTTATCACGTGGATCCCTCCCACAGACACTGACTGAAGCATCAATTACCCTATTGCTTAAGCCAGGTAAAGATGCCACAGAATGCGGCTCATATCGGCCCATCTCCCTCTTAAACTGTGACGTGAAGATCTTGGCCAAGGCCCTTGCCTTACGCTTAGAAGCCACAATGCATGACGTGATCTCTGCTGACCAGACTGGTTTTATTTTAGGGCGTCATTCATTTACAAATATCCGCCGGCTATTAAATATTATTCACTCTCCTGCGCCCAATGTGGTCCCTGAGGTGGTTATCGCGCTTGATGCAGAGAAAGCCTTTGATAGGGTAGAATGGGGATATCTATTTACATGTTTAAAAAAATTTGGCTATGGTCCTAATTTCATCTAATGGATTAAAATCTTATATACCTCACCCAAAGCCTCAGTAATTACACATGGTAGGCGCTCTCAGTATTTTCAGCTGGCAAGAGGCACTCGTCAGGGCTGCCCTATCAGCCCACTGCTATTTGCCCTAGCCATAGAGCCCTTGTCCATTACACTCAAATCATTACCCTCGTTAAGTGGAATCCATGGGGGGGCATAGAGTATCTCTGTACGCAGATGATTTATTAATGTATGTATCGGACCCTGTTTCAAGCGCCCCCCATGTGATCCATGCCTTGAGGAGATTTGGTGCTTTTTCTGGGTACAAACTGAATTTTAGTAAAAGTGAATGTTACCCTGTTAATGACCTGGCTCTTCAAATACAAGACAATGCTCTACCGTTCAGAATGTCTAGGAATGGCTTTAAATATTTGGGCATTAACATTACAAGGGACATGCAGAAGCTTTACCAGGAAAACTTCTATCTGCTATTTGAGAAAGTCAAATCAGACCTGGACAAATGGAAGACACTTCACCTATCTTTAGCAGGAAAAGTGAATTGTATAAAAATGAATGTGCTCCCCAAATTCTGTTTCAGTGTATTCCACTTTATCTCCCTAAAACCTTCTTCGAATCTATTGATAAGGTCTTTATTTCATTTATATGGGGTGGGAAGAAACCTAGAATACGACTGGAACTGTTACAGAGGCCTAAAATGCAGGGTGGCTTAGCGCTTCCAAATCTTTGTCATTATTATTGGGCCTCAAATGTTCAAAAAATCATGCACTGGCTCCACACTCCTGATACAGACTGGTGCCATTTTGAAGCTGCATCTTGCACTTCAACCTCTCTTAGAGCCCTGGTCACCTCCACCTTTCCCATCTCTATCTCTCAATTCACCAACAATCCAGTAGTCATAAATACCCTCAAAATATGGTTTCAACTTAGACGTAGCTTCGGGTTTAATAATCTTCTCCATCTAAGTCCCATACACAATAACCATCTTTTTCTCCCAGCTAGATTAGACTCCGAATTTGCTCTCTGGCAAAGACAAGGCATTTACAAATTTAAAGATATGTATATAAACAGTATTTTCCCTAGCTTTGATGACTTGTCACATAAATTTGGCCTCCCTCGGTCTAGCCTGTTCCGATATTTCCAAGTCCGCCACTTCCTTCAGCATCATGATCCCAACTTTCCATATATACCATCACTTTCTGGTTTAGATGCTCTGTTAGAAACTACTTTCAGCTTTAAAGGACTTATTTCAAGAATCAACAACTGTATATCTTCTTTTAAAAACACAACTCTTGCAAAGATCAAGGCAGACTGGGTGGATGAGTTGGGAGAGGACTTGGAAGAAGACATTTGGGACAGCGCTCTAGTAAGAGTGAATGACAGCACTTCATGTGCCAAATTAAGTATAATACAATTTTAGATCTTGCATCGTGTCCACTACTCCAAAGCCAGACTTGCTAAAATATACCCTGACACAGATGCAAGCTGCGACAGGTGTCGGAACACTCCTGCCGACCTAACCCATATGTTTTGGTCATGCCCAGCCCTAGCATCCTATTGGTCTGCAATCTTTAAAACAGTGTCAGAAGCTCTTAATATTGACATACAACCCAATGCAGTAATGGCCATATTTGGTACTACTGACAGAAGATATTCTACAATAAGGAAAGGATATAAAAACATCATTGCTTTTACAACATTGCTTGCACGCAGAATAATTTTATTACATTGGAAATCTAAAAATCCACCTAATGTGTCTCTGTGGTTTAATGACCTAATGCAGTTCATACAGTTAGAGAAAATAAAATACACTCTCAGGGGGTCCAGGGACAAATTCTTTTCTGTCTGGGATCCAGTGCTGAAATATTTGGGTAAGCTTAAGACTGTGCCCACTTAGCAGCCTCCTAACACTTACAGTTGTGTTATTCATTCATGAGAATTATAGTGTGTAGTACACAACTTCAGCAGTGGTGAGCCTATGTTTACATGTGTTTTTTTTTCTTTTTAATTTATTATATTTGTTTTTAGTTATTACCTTTTTCAGTATTATTATCATTACTATTATTATTATTATTATTATCATTGTTCCTATTACTACTATCCTTTCTACTTTCTGGATGGGTGTCCTATGTGTTCTGGAGGGGGGGCAATAACTCATACAAAATAATGATGTGAGCATTGGTCCAAAGTTCTTTTGTGAATGTTGTATCTATGTACATATCCTGTACTATCAGTGTTCAATAAAAATACCACTTAAAAAAAAATAATAATAATGGTCAGATAGGAAAGGATTATGTGGGAAAACTATTAAATGTTCAATCTCAATGCCATATGATAAAACAAGGTCAAGAGTGTGATTAAAACAATGAGTTGGTTTATTTACACTCTGACAGAAGCCAGTTGAGTCTATTAATGATATAAATGCGTTACTAAGGCTGTCATTGTCAACATCCACATGAATATTAAAATCACCTACAATAATTACTTTATCTGATTTAAGGACTAAACTTGATAAAAACTCAGAGAATTCAGATATAAAATCAGAGTATGGTCCAGGAGCGCGGTAGACTATAACAAATAGAACTGGCTGCAGTGTTTTCCAGTTTGGGTGAGAAAGACTAAGAACAAGGCTTTCAAATGAATTATAATTTAGTTTAGGTTTAGGGTCCATTAAAACGCTCGAATCATATATGGCTGCTACTCTACCTCCTCGGCCAGTGCCTCGAGGAATGTGAGTATTAATATGACTGGGGGGGTGGATTCATTTAGGCTAACATACTCCTCGTGGGACAACCAGGTCTCAGTAAGACAAAGTAAATCAATATCATAATCTGATATTCATTCATTCACTAGAACAGCTTTAGAGGACAGAGACCTGATATTTAACAGCCCACATTTCATTCTCTTATTTTGTGCTACTGAGGAGTTGGTTTTAATTTTTATTAGATTTTTATGTTGAACTCCTCTTGTTTTTATTTCTTTAAATAATTTAGGTGGTCGGGGGACAGACACAGTCTCTATGGGGTTTTGGGTGGGTGACTGTTCTAAAGAAAGCACAGAGAAGTGTGTAAGACAGCAGCTCTGCTTCCTGGTCCTAACTCTGGACTGTCAGGTTTTAGAGATAAACTTCGCCATATTTCTAGATAAGAGAGCCGCTCCATCCAAAGTGGGATGGATGCCGTCTCTCCTAATCAGACCAGGTTTTCCCCAAAAAGGCTTCCAGTTATCAATGAAGCCCACATCGTTTGCTGGCCACCACCTCGACAGCCAGCGGTGGAATGACGACATGCGGCTATACATGTCATCACTGGTCACATTGGGGAGGGGGTCCAGAGAAAACTACGGTGTCCGACATTGTCTTAGCATAATTACACACCGACTCCACATTAATCTTAGTGACCTCCGATTGGCGTAAACGGGTGTCGTTACCGCCGACGTGGATAACAATCTTACTGTATTTACGTTTATCTTTAGCCAGCAGTTTTAAATTTGATTCAATGTCGCCCGCTCTGGCCCCAGGGATACATTTAACTATGGCCGCTGGCTTCACTAACTTCACGTTTCTGACTATGGAGCTGCCAATAACCAGAGTTGGTTCCTCAGCGGGTGTGTCGCTGAGTGGGGAAAAATGTATTAGAAACGTGAATGGGTTGGTGGTGACCTGTGGGCTTCGGTGTTTTAGTCTTCCTTCGCTCAGTCACCCAGCCTCCCTGTCTTCCCGGCTGCTCGGGAACTACCGGGGGATCTACAGAGCTAACAGAAGCTACCTTTGGTCGGACCGCACCGGCTACCGGGGGCTGACTAACTATAGCGGCTAAAGATATCTCAGTGGTGCGGTGCCGTTCCTCTAGCTCACTAAGCCTCGCCTCCAGCGCAGTAAATAAACTACATTTAATACATGTACCATTATCATTAAAGGAGGCAGAGGAATAACTGAACATCTGGCACACTGAGCAGGACAGAGGAGAGGGAGAAGCCATAGCTATCTGCTAATGCTAATGAAACTAGCGTATATGAAAAACTTTTGAAAATAGTGAAAAGTCGCTAAAAGAAGGAGTAACTCCGAGTGCTTAAGTAGAACTAGTCTACGTTTAAATGTTAAGCGGGAAAATAACCGCAGTAACGAGTAAAACTAATTTATATTTAGCGTTCACTGACAGAGCTACAGCACCAAACAGTGTACACAGAGCAGGAAGTAAACCGGAAATGAGTCAGTACGCTTACCGTAGCACGTCAGTAAAGACAACATGTCCTGAATACATAGACATTCCTCAAACGTCCTCAGTATCTTAATCTCCTGTAAATCCGTGTAGAGGAGGTGCATTACTCTGATTAGAGCGATTCTTGCCATGTCCTTATTCCTGATGTTAAATGTTTAGTAATTCTTTCAACATTTTCTGTGTTGGAATTAAAACTGTGTTGGATGTGATGCTTGAGATTTACATTGGCAAGAAAATGTATCTAAAATCAAGTTTATTTATTAGAGATTTTTTTTAAATATTGTGGTGAACCCGATTAGCCATTTTATCATTTTAATTTTTAACTTTGACACAGTTAGATAGGCTGTGTCACAATCAGGATGCTTCACCAACTCTTAGAAATAATCAAATCTTTTTAAATGTTTTTGTTTTCTGGATAGGTATTAGGTGGTGTTCCAGTTTAAATCTCCACTTTGCTTTGAGCACAGTACCAAAGGCTCTGTAGTAATTGGTAAGTAATATACACATTTTATTTGACATGTTTAAACTAAATTGTCAAGACTTTCAAAAATGTTTGGGTATTTTGTTGCTACAATTTTAGGTTTAAACTAATTCAGTCTAATATAGTCCTGTAATAATAATAATAATAATAATAATAATAATTATTTGGACCTCAGGAACCTGGACTCTCTCACACTCTTCAAATCAAGATTAAAAACTCACCTATTTGCCTACCCCACTAGTCTTTTCTTATCTGTTTCTTATTTCTTGCTATTTTTTTTGTTTTGTTTTTGTTTTTGAGTTGTACGGTGTCCTCGAGTGCCCAGAGAGGCGCCTCTAATAATTTAATGTATTATTATAGTCCTGTAATAATAGTATATAATAATATAATAGTCCAGTTCCCATGGCGCCGCCGCGAGTGGCAGCCCTTTCAGCAGCTCCTAGTGTTCAGTGATCTTTTTTGACTTTTTATTATTTTTATTGATGTTTGTTTTTGCTTTTTTATATTCACATTTCTGCCTTGTCACATCTTATCAACTTCTATCCAATAGATATGGATATTTATTTACTTGTTTATTCGAGAAAACAACTTCTCACGCTGAAGACAAAGTCCTGGGCCGGTGTGGTTCCCCATTTACCTAACGAGGTGAGGAGACCCTATCGTGGCTGCAGAGCCGGCGCAAAGCTAAAGGCCAAGCGAATGGCGAAGAAGTGGCGATATAAACCTTCTGCACCATCGGTGATCATGGGAAATGTTAACTCACTACAGAACAAGATCGACGAACTGGCTGCGCTGGTGAAAAAAGTTAAAATCTACAGGGAGGGCAGTTTGCCGTGCTTCACTGAAACGCGGCTAACGTCCCGGACGTTAACCTTGAGCTGGCCGGCTTCAGCACAGTCGGGTTGGACAGAGACACTAAGGCCTGTGTGAAGCAGAAAGGAGGCGGACTAGCTGTATACGTGAACACAAGGTGGTGTAACCCTGGACATGTGAACATCAAGATTTCCATCTGCAACAGGGACGTTGAGCTGCTTGCCGTAGGGTTGCAACCCTTCTACTTGCCCAGAGAGTTTGGACACGCCATTGTTGTTATTGTTTACATTCCACCACGTGCTGACGCGATAGTCGCGTGCAACGTCATCCACTCCGCTGTAGCAGGACTACAAACACAGCACCCAGAGGCTCTGGTGTTAATCTCTGGGGACTTTAATCACGTGACTCTGGACACAACACTACCTGCTTTCTTCCAGTATGTGGACTGTTACACCAGGAGAAATAAGACTATTGACCTACTGTATGCAAACGTTCATACAGCACCACCCCTCTGCCTGCACTGGGGAAAGCTGATCACAATCTGATTCTGCTTCAGCCTCGATATAAACCAAGAGTGAAGAGACAACCCACAACAATGCGCTCATTCAGGAAGTGGTCATTTGAAGCAGAACAGGCTCTAAGAGACTGTTTTGGTAGTACGGACTGGGATGTACTGCAGGGTTCGCACTGTGAGGACATCGAGGAGGCTGTTGACTGCACTACTGACTACATCAACTTCTGTATGGATGTTGTTAATCCTGTAAGAACTGTGCACTGCTATGCCAACAACAAGCCCTGGATTACAAGTCATGTCAAGGGCCTCCTTAACCAGAAGAAGAGGGCCTTTAAAGATGGAGATCAGCAGGAGCTTAGACGTGTACAGAGGGAACTCAGAGTCCAGCTCAGGGAAGCGAAGGAGCAGTACAGAGGGAAGCTGGAGCAGAAACTGCAGAACAACAGCATGAAGGAGGTGTGGGATGGGATGAAGATCATCACCGGCTGCAGCTCAAAGCGGGGGGCCCGTATGGAGGGAGATACAGAAAGAGCAAACCTGATGAACCAATTCTTCAGCAGGTTCGACCACCCCATCCCGTTAACACCTCAGGTCACCATACCCCCTTCTGCTGCTGTCTCTCTCTCGCTCCCCTCAGGAGCCACAGAGGAGCTGGTTGTCCCACCCACTATTACAGCAGCCCAGGTGTGTGGAGAGCTAATGAGGCTTCGTCCCAGCAAAGCAGCAGGTCCAGATGGAATATCCCCTCGACTTCTGAAGGCCTGTGCGTTGGAGCTGAGACTCCCCCTACAGCACATCTTCAACCTGAGCTTGGAACAGGGGAGGGTCCCTAGACAGTGGAAGACATTCTGCATCATCCCAATCCCAAAGAAACCACATCCTGGTGAGCTAAATGACTTCAGACCGGTCGCCCTGACATCACATGTGATGAAGACCATGGAACGGCTGCTGCTACACCACCTGAGGCCACAGGTCCGCCACGCCCTTGACCCACTGCAGTTTGCCTACCAGGAGAAGGTGGGAGTAGAGGATGCCATTGTGTACCTGATGCACAGATCCCTTTCTCACCTGGATAGGGGAAACGGTGCTGTGAAAATTACATTTCTGGACTTTTCCAGCGCTTTCAATACCATACAGCCTCGACTTCTGCAATACAAACTAGCAGACATGGGAGTAGACTCACATCTGGTGGCATGGATAATGGACTACCTGACAGACAGACCCCCAGTATGTGCGACTGACACACACAGTGTCAGACTGCAGGTCAGACTTCAAATATAACTCAGAGTCCTGTCACAGTTTGCAGGCGACACGGCTATTGTGGGCTGTATCAGGAATGACCAGGAGGAGGAGTACAGGAAACTCATTCAGGACTTTGTCACATGGTGTGACTCAAACCACCTGAGCCTCAACACCACCAAGACCAAGGAGATGGTGGTGGACCTCAGAAGGCCCAGGGCTCACCCGGAACCTGTGACCATCAACAGTGACCGTGTGGAGTTGGTACAGACATACAAATACCTGGGAGTACACCTGGATGATAGGCTGGACTGGACTGCCAACACAGACACCCTGTGCAGAAGAGGTCAGAGCCAATTATACTTCCTCAGAAGGCTGGTGTCCTTCAACATCTGCAAAAAACTGCTGCAGATATTCTATCAGACTGTTGTGGCGAGCGCCTTCTTCTATGCAGTAGTGTGCTGGGGAGGCAGCGTTAAGAAGAAGGACGCCTCCCGTCTGGACAAACTGGTGAGGAAGGCGGGCTCTGTGTTGGGCACAGAGCTGGACAGACTGACATCTGTGGCAGAGCAAAGGGCGCTGAACAGGCTCCTGTCAATCATGGACAATTCACTGCCCAGCACCATCTACAGGCAGAGGAGCAGCTTCAGCGACAGGCTGCTGTCACTGTCCTGTTCCACTGAAAGACTGAGGAGATCGTTCCTCCCCCACGCCATCAGGCTCTTCAACTCCACCCAGGGGAGGAAAACTCTAAACTTCAATATGTCTGCCCTTTAGTTAACTATACCGCCTGACGCAGTGCTCCCTGCATTATGTGACCACTGACTGACTGACACTACTTACGCACCTTAGGCCTTTCAAGCACTGGATTTGACCCTGCACCTTAGGACATTAGCCCCATGCTCGTTATTTAGCTATTTATTCTACTTTATTCTATCAGTTCTTCTAAATTGACCTCCTCTTATTATTATTATTATTATTATTATTATTATTATTATTATTATTATCAGTTTGTGGATACTGCTGGAAACTGTGAATTTCCCCTTGGGGATGGATAAACTATCTATCTAATCCAATCTAATCTAAATCCTACCTTCTGTTTAAAAATGGTGTTTATGATATTGAATCTAACCTAGCTGTTCTTAGTACCTAACATTAGTATGTCCTCTGATTTGTTTCTCTCTCTCTCTCTTTCTCTCCCTCCAGTGAATGTGGCAGTGTAAGTGGTGTTCAGTAGCCACTGCAAGTAGGTCCGAGCTACTTAACCATTACAAACTCAAACCTCCACATTTTGGACGTACTATCCGCTATCCGTGTACATATTTGAAATGCTCATGCTCATTCAAGACATAGAATGCTGTTAATCAAAGTAGAGTAGATTCCACACACGTTTGTCAGACTCAAAAAGAGCTGTATACTTTCAGCTGTCACTTATGTACGTGTAAACATTTAGCAAATGAAAGGGAGTTCTTTGTTCATATTAACACACATCTGAGGAGAAATTAAAACGTTTGTTGCATGTTTGTTGGCTGTAGTTTTCAAACTAGCATTTATGAAACCTTTAAGTCTCATAAGGTTTAGGGCAAGTGTTTTATTTCCTCTCATATGACTCTTTTTGTGAATGTGCACTCTGCAGGCAGAAGACAAAGGCCTGCACCAAGGAGCCATTGAGGAGACCACGCTGGGAATATGTGTTTTAAAACACAGAGATGCCACTGGATAGACCAGAGGACATCGGGATTGTCCTGGAGGGCCAGGTGGTACTGCATGATCTGGACAATGTTGCCTTAGCTGTTGCCATGCTGTTTGGCCTAATGTATGCCTTAAACCTCAACTACCCTCCTGAACTTAAGTACTCTTTCGAAGTGCTCCAGAAGGTTATGATGGAGCTGGACGGCAACACACTGTCAAAGAAAGCCCAGGCTCTCAAAAACAGACTCCACCAGTGTGCTGTTGGCAAGATGGATACAACAGAGTCTCCCTTTCTTCTTTTGGAATATGGACCATTGCTGCTTTTTCATTGGACTGGACTTTTGACACTTAAGCATTTCACTTGCGCTGCCTTAATGTATGTTCTTGTTTATAGCAAGTGTTGTGTATTGTTTTCAGCAGATTTTTTTCTCAGGGTCGTGTGTTGCAAAATGTGCGTTTTTCATTTAGGTGTCAGCATTTGTCAGATGTGTGTTGAATAGAGCTCCAACAGTTTCACAGGTTTTTGCACATTCTTAACTAGAATGTAGTGGGAAAGCAAGCCATTACTTTTAATTTTATTACACTTTATTTTCAAAACCCTTGCAGTTAAAGGAGAAAATAAATTTTTCAAGCACTGGATCTACATTTGCCAGGACAATAATGGTTCAGAAGGTGTTTTAAGGACCAGCAGTGTTGCCTCAGGTTGTAGCAGTCATGAATGTTTACTACACACACTAGGGTACCATGGGTTTCTTGTGAAAGAAAAGGGTGCTTTGCTCTAATGTGAGATTTGTTTGTGTATGTATACATATGTGTTAGTGTATATATTGCTCTGAACCTACTGTTCTATGACAATACAGTTTTAAACTAAATGTTTTTGTTTTGCCTGTTGTTTTGAATATGTTACAGGAGTAAATGCTGTAGGTAAGAGATTCAGTAGAAATCAGCGTACAGAAATAATTTTAGCATGTAGAATTCATACACAAAGTATGTAGGATCTTTATGAGACTAACTTGAGCAGGAAAAGTTGATTTAACAGAACATCACTGCATATACTTTACATAAATATCTCATGTTGCTTTAAAGGTAAAAATTTATTTCAGTAAACATAAAAGGGAAACTTTAAATTAACCCCAAAAAATTATGTTGGGTCTTGACAGAAAAATTGAATATAATTAACATTAATAAGAAACTTTGAATTAACATAATAAAATCATGTTGGTTTTACAAACAAGAATTCAGTATATTAAATAGAAATTAATCATTTTGACTAAACATAAATATAATATGTGCAACCGATGTCCATATTTTTTTAATGTTAATTCAACACTTTTTTTTCAGTGCACTGTCTTTGAATCTATTTTTGAGGTACTGATTTTCAGTATCAAGTGAGAAAACAATGTGTTGCAGCTGATGGCTGTGCTTATACTGTGTGACTATTTGCTCCAATTTGAGAGACGTGAAAAAACACATTGCAGGTCTCCTGGTTTTTATAGTTCAGTTGTGAATGGTTAAGAATTGTTGAGTATTTATGTATTTGATTTTATTATATCCAGAACAAAAACTTTTTATGAGCTAAGAAAACCAGTTCTGATTATTGACATTGAGGAATATCAACATGTTTTTCTATAAACCCTTCATTTAGCAAAAGAAGTCAAAGTTCTCAATTTTTTACATTTTTAACCTCTCAACCTCAAGTTGAGAGTTTGAGCAGACATCCGATGCCAGCTTATTTTACTTGACAGTTTTTAATACTGTGTGCAATTAACACATTTAGCTCTGTACATAGAAGAAAAAGCCTACAGCGATGCTAGTGGCTCTGTGCAATGACAATGTTAACATGCTGATGTTTAGTATAATGTTGTGCTGCAGGTATTTGGTAAAATTTTGACCACACTAGATGTTATGGGAAAAACTTGAAATCGTCAAATGAACAAGTTGAGTGCAACAGAGCATGAAGACCAACATGCTGCCCATCTAAAAAGGAAACGGAGGCAGGGCTCCAGACTAACTGTTTGCATTGGTTGCACTGGTGCGCCTAACTTTTTTTTTTAGGGGCACCAGCACAAAATGTAGGTGCACCCAAATTTTTCATTGAGTCGCCTTTAACGCCATAAGGTCACCTTTTTATCGCTCTCCATAACTTTCATATAATGTGAATGATTTTTAAACAATAAGGTGTAGGGAAATGTTTGTCTTTATTTGAAGCCCAATTATATATAAAAAGAAACATAAAGGGTTTAAAGTGCTTCACTGTGCTGAAATTGAACTTTCAAACTAAAACACTAAGCAAAATATAACATCTCCAAATAAAAGAGGACCTGATTACTACTACCTGCCACTGAAATGCAGCTGGGAGAGGGGCCACTTTCTCTACACACACTTGTCACGGCATATCGTGTGTTTTTTAGACATGTGTTTTTTTAAAGTTTCATACGAAACGTTGTTGACCCTCTTAGGAATGCACTATTTCCGGCCATATTCTGACCGCACTCCTGACAGTACACGCGGTGCATTGCGTTACGTCCTTTGTTGTACCTCAGTCAGGGAAATTGTTTCAGCCAGTCCTGTCTGAAGGAATATATTTTGGCCTTTTTAATTTGGGTCTCAGAGCCGGGACTATCCCAGACTCTGTTGTCTCCTCCTCTGGTTCCGAGTCTGATGCTGTTGTCGAAGGACCGGGGCTTGGTATCTCACCAGGGACCGAGGGCTCCGTGTCTTGACGGGATGGACTCTCAGTAGTGGGGATGGATGGGATTATAGTAGTAGGACTGGTTGTAGGCTTGGTTTTCTTAATGACAAAACTTTCAATATTTCTGCCTCTCTTCATTTTCCCTTGTTTTTCGCGTTCATTTTATTTTTCCATTTCAGTTAGTCAGCTACTCTCGTGCTCAGGTCGCGCGCAATTTTTAAACACACAATTTAGTGCAATGAACAGGACCACAGCCAATCAGAGGCAAAGACCCGCCCGAGCTCTGTCTCTTATTGGTTTAGAACACGATATGATCCTACCATGAGTGTGAGTTCGGTCACAGGAGAACACAGAGAGATGATGCGCTTGTGAAATAAATGTATGTTTTCACCCGGCAGCGTCAGGTGCACCAGTGCGACCTAGAAAAATTATTAGTCACACTTAAAAATGTTGTTGCACTCTGGAGCCCTGGGAGGTATTGATTTTTTCATCCAAATAGAATAACCAAACACACATACAGATGGTTTGTTTGATGAAACCCAGAATGCCCTTTCATCAGAAAAAAGCATGCTCTGCCTGTAGATAACCACAGTGTAGGAATCAGATACTGTGTTTATAGTGAATTCTCAGTCTTATCTTGTCTTCTTGAAGATCTGATAACATGCTCAGACAGGAAAAAATAACATGTTACTGATTATTTTTATTTGTCACAGAGAATTATCTTCTTCCTCCCTCATGGCTAAAATTAATATTGAAAAAACTGAATTAGTTTCCAATCAGTTCTTACCACATTAACCCACAAAATTCTGCAGACTGACAGAGAAAGAAAGACACAAACAAACACACAGTTGGTGTTAAACCACAGAGTTGCGGCTACAATGAAAGTTCATATAGATGACCTTGGTTGCTGCAAACTTATGATAGATCAAATAAATAAAGGTCGGAACCCAAACTAGACGTCTAGATTTTAATGGTTGTAAGAAAACATGAAAAAAAAAATACAGTTGGCTTCTCAGCATTTTTGTGAAGAAAACTAAATGAAAGTTATTTTTATAGTTTTGATTATTCTTTGAAGATCTGAACACAAACTGTATTCACTCTGATAAACAGCATCTTACTGAATTAGAAAAGTTCAATCAACCAAAGATTTAATAGTATTATAAGAAAACACAGAATCTGTCAAAAAAGAAGCCTATATTAAGTATGTATGATTGTTAAAAATTATATTTAAGTTGTTCTGTGCTGTTGTTATGCATTGATTTTAATATGAAATCATGATCAAATAAGTAACGTAGTTGAGGGTCCTCAGTTTACACAGTGATTAAAAACAGGGTCCTTTAAGGAAAAAGGTTGGGAAGCACTGGTCTAGTGGGCAACTTAAAGAAATAGTTTGACATTTTTAGATATAGCTTATTTGCTTTCTTGCCAAAATGAGAAGATGAGAATATTGACACCACTGTCATGTCTTTGAGGCTACAGCCAGGAGACAGTTAGCTTAGCATAAAGACTGGAAACAGCTTCCAGCACCTCTAAAATTCACCAATTAACCAACAAACCAGTTTCTTCCAGGTCTGCTCCCAGACAAGAAATAGTCCGGCCAACAAATCGTGTAGCACACGCCTCGTCGTGTTTCCCATTCTGGAGGAGAAAAACCAAAAACTTAAACAAACAGCAGGGAGGGTGAAAGGTCACCAACATGTGCTGAATCACTCTCAATAATTCAACATGTCTTTACAGCTTGCTATAGTTTGTGAAGCCTCTGTTTTTTTCTGGTTAGTGATGTGGTGTAAGACTGAGTAATCTTTTGATTCAATCATTAAGCAGCAACTTTGTAAGACGGCATGAAATGAGTGCCAAACACCACAAAACTTTGACACACATTTGGGAGAATTAGATGTTGAAAATAAACATTAAACAGCCAATTAAGGAAAATGTTTTCAGGATAAAAAAAAGCTTTGCTTCTATTTTAATAAACACATTGATTTTAATCTGTGCATACATTCTCATGCACAGATTAGTCGAATTACATTGTGAGGCTTCAACCAGTGATCTTGCAATAAAAACCTAGACTAAATTAAATGTATAATGCACTTTTACGTAGAAATGTTCAAAAATGTACTTTTTTCATACAGATTTGCAGTTTTTTTTCTCTGTATCTCTGCAACCAGCTGCTGATGTCAGTGAGTATCAAAGGAAGTGTGGGTGGGTGAAAGGGACCTTAAAACATCAAAGAAAATACCATGCAGGAACATTTGTTAAATACAACAGAAATAACAGTTGGACTGTAATTAATTAATTAATTAGTAATTAAATTCAGTTGACTGGACATAATTTGGAAAGGCACACACCTGTCTATATAAGGTCCCACAGTTAAGTCAGATCACAAAACAAGCATGAAGTCGAATGACTGTAGTCTGTAGACCTCAGAAACAGGATTGTATCGAGGCACAAATCTGGGGAAGGGTACAGAAACATTATGATTTAAAGGTCCCAATGAGCACAGTGGCCTCCATCATCCTTAAATGGAAGAAGTTTGGAACCACCCGGACTCTTCCTAGAGCTGGCCGTCCCTCTAAACTGAGTGATCGGGGGAGAAGGGGACCAATAGGGAGGTGGCCATAACCCGATGGTCACCCTGACAGAGCTCCAGGGTTCTTCTGTGGAGAGAGGAGAACCTTCCAGACCATTGCTGCAGCACTCCACCAATCAGGCCTGTATGGTAGAGTGGCCAGACGGAAGTCACTCCTTAGTAAAAGGCACGTGGCAGCCGACCTGGAGTTTGCCAAAAGGCACCTGAAAGACTCTCAAACCATGAGAAACACAATTCTAGACAAAATATTCAGACTTTGTCAGAACACTGTACAGATTTGGCTTTGTGTAGTCATTAAATATGATCACAGCTATGTTACAATGTGTCATCAATCATGATGTACAGATGTTTCATGAGTTATGTAGGAAGTTAGAATTGTTAACAAATACATTAACAGACAATTGAAATGTCTATATATCAGCTTCACCTGCATTTTGAGTGGTATGAATCATTATTCTGTGTTTATGTACTTCTTATAAATGCTAAATGGAGGGAGTTACTGGATCTACAATAAAACTAAGATGCTTAGATCTTATAGCCCCAGACAAGACAGCTACAACGGAAATAATTGATTGCCTAGCCTTGAAACA